TATATTTTATAATATTTATATCATATCTTCCTAGAAGAATATTTGATAGTTTGAAGGTATGAAGATTTTGAGAGATAATGTTGTTAAGTGCCGTTGATTTGGTTCCAACTTATTGAGTACCTGTGTAGGGTTTCCAAGGAATGGCTGGTGGGTTTGATTTGCTGACTTTGTGGTTCTAACCAATCTATGGTTCAGTACTTATCCTACAGCACCACACCAGGACTCCATAGCAATTAAGAGCCCAGATTCTGAATATATAGTTCCTGTGTTCAATTCCCAATTCTGCTGTTTAATCACTATGTGTCCCTGGGCAGGTTCATTAAGCCTCAGTTACTTCATCTGTAAAACGAGGTTAATAATAGTTTCTATTTCACAGAGCCATTTTTAGTGCTAAATTAGTTGATAAATACAAAGCACTTAGACTACTACCTGACTCTTAATAAACAACAAGAAAGTATTAGCTTATTTGTAAGACTTTTATTATATCTTGACAAACTGTTGTCTGAAATTTTGTACTAGTTTACATTCACTTAGGCAGTGTTTAAGGAGACTATGTGCCTTCATCTATGTCTTCATCATTTCCACATACTTTCATTATTATTCTCAATTTTTGCCAGTTTGGTAGCCCAGAGATGGTATCTCATTATCATTTTAATTTTCAGTTAAGAATTAATTAGGAGATGAACTTATTCTACCTTTAACATAGAAAGGACCTCATAATTATATAATGATTTGTGGTCATTATGAACATCATCATGGCATTATGACTGCATATGAGTGATAACTAATACAGAGTTATGGTTTAGAATATTGGCTGCAGTGTCTAATAGCTTAGTGAACTATGTAAAGCACATTAATGAATATTCATGAAATATTTAGTCCAGCTAATTGAATACACTACCAAAAGGGTTAAATGAATACAAAGTTTTTCTATAATGAAATGTGGGATATGTAACAGATGTACAATTCCAGTGTGGGATGGACCCACTACTGTTTCTGAATAGCCATCACACAGCTCATGAAATCATCCTTGCACCTGCTCTTGTGGTGTGCATCTGTGCTTTTTTGGCAGTATCACTGGCTTCAATGTAGGAGATGTAACTAAACATGATTGCTTTATAGCTGTAGCTATTAGGGTATGGAAGGAGACCTGGTGGTGAAGTGGTTAAGTACTCAGGTGCTAACGA